ACCCACCCCAGGGAAGGACATCCATCACACAGTAAACTCGTGCGTGGGAAATTAACGTCTTCTACACCTACTCCTGCCGGAGACGGGACCTCCATTTATTCATCCCTATCCGAGAAGACTAGAATATCTAACCATTTCTTGATGTTACAGAAAGGAAGCATATTCTTCTCAGTTATTTTAAGACCTTGAGTGTTGGTCCAGCCAGGGCTCGAACCCTCGACCTCCCGCACAGCAGTCCAGCACTCTATCCATTGAGCTACCTGGGAGGCCTGTAACATTTTACAGTTTATAATGAAGCAAAGTGCAAGATGGTTTCATTCTCAAAAAATTACATGTTACTGTTTCTGAACACAGTACTTTTTAAGGATATAAAATTAAAAAAAAAAACACTTTATTCTCAATTACTATAATTCAAATAATTATCATGGTTATAATTAATATTGAAATTTTTATTGCTTTTTGTTCATCTTCCATTTTTTTTTTTGGAGTGCTGTTAAAGTTAAACAAGGGATGAGGAAAGATAGATCGGCATTATTAATTAAAAATACTTTAAAACAAACACAGTTTAACACTTAATAATAATTATAACAATAATATAACACTATAAAACTTTGCTTTCTTGTGTACCTTTCATAATTTGTCTCATCAGTAACAGCAATATTCTCCAGGCCTGCACGATCTTTTCTTGATTTCTGCTGATCTTCAGGGCAAAAGAAAGCTCCATAGGCACGTTCATGTAAGTTGGCACCATTCTTGCACAGAATGTGAACCATGTGTTGATTTTCATTGACTATTGCCATGTGCAGAGCACTTTCACCTAGGAACATAGATCATTATGCTATAAAATGTCTGCATAAAGCTTCATGCTGTTCAGGTTTGAACAGGTACATTTTATGCACATGTAGCAAAATATCAGGCCTTACCAATCTCATGACTAAAATCTAAACATACCATATTCCTTGAATAAGTGTGCATGCATGTTTATTTCAAATTTTAGCTAAAAAAACGAATGCTTATGGGAACGAAAATTCAAAGCTTAGTTCTACACATTCTGCTGTTTCTCAAAAAAGAAATAAGCACCCTGTTCCTAATAAGTGCCCCATTTCAAATAAGCACCCTCCCTAGAGGACTAACAAATTAAAAAGTGAATAATTATTGTAAGTACCCTAGCACTACATAGAGCTAATATGGTATTCGGGAGACATGGGTTATTATGGCATAGGTGCTTATTTCAGTATGTCACCAAAAGTGCTTCAATTCAAATTCCTACAGACAACTTGTTTAATCAGAATAATACACATTTTGACTAATACAATAACTATATGAAATGATATTCATCTCACCATAATACTCATCACTGATATAAATATCATTGACCAGGGGAGGGAATTTCTTTATGATCATCTTGGCTATATCATAGTGCACTCGAGTCGCATTCAAGAAACACAAGTGAAGGACATTTTCTCCCACAGCAGCACGTTGGTTGATATCCCAGCAAACAAATCTTGTCCTACTCAGAGCTATAACAAAAAAATCAACACATGGTATTAGATCCTAAAGTCTGTTTTTGTTATGTGTACGGTAACATTTATTGATGAGAAATGATAAATATTGTTTGAATTCAGACTGAGTTCTTGCTTATCACTCCTGACACACAAAGCTTGCCAGAAAGGTTTCCAACCTCCCTTATTCTTCAGGACTGAATCTAAATGTATTTCACCATTTTATTTATTACTGTGCAGTACTAAATCAGCCTGGGTCTAAAATTAGCCTCCTTTTAATCCTTTGACCCTGAAGAACGATTAACATCTAATTTCTCCTTACAATATCACCCTTGAATCACACCTTGGGTTCATGAGTATACAGGAAATAAACACCAGTGAAAGACACTCTTCACTGTTGACCAAAATCTCCTTGTTGGCACCTTGGGAAATGTGTTAAAAAACAGTATGGAGAATGTGCATGCTGATATCAGGGTGTAAAGAGTCAAGCCCTATTCACAAGAGGAACATTATTAACTAGACTTCAAGTTTAAAAGTGGGATGCCGGTAACCAACATGAAAATTCTGGTCACCAATACTGAATTTAATTGGCAACAAGCTGGTTGCAATTTAAGTCTCTGTCAATAGATGCAAGTCTCAAGTTCAGATTTACAACAATCTAGGATTCTCTGACTCCCAGTATCTGCGATTGAATCTCTGATTGTACATGACCTTTGACATGTTTGATCAAAGTTAATAATTAGTTCTTATTAACCAAGGGGGAGGTCTGTATGGGAGAATCTTGACCGAGGTCGCCAGTACAGACCAAACGCAGTGAGGTCTGTACCAGCGACCGAGGTCAAGATTCTCCCATACAGACCGACCTAGCTCGGTTAATAAGATGTTTATTATATGGCTGTTTCTTATATGCCAATTATTTATATTCTTTGTACCTTTTTTTTCTAGACCAGTCTAAATGCCAGTCTAGATGAGAAATCTAGACCGCTTCCAATATTGATGTCAGCTAATCAAATTCGTGAATTCGGTAGTTCCCAGTTTTTGTGAGACACAGCCATATAATAAAGCTTAATATTAACTATGGTTTGAAAAAGCTTGAAATTGTGACCTCACCCAGGCATCGGGCATTACAAGGCACCAAGTTAATACAAATTAAGTACAAGTACTTTAAACATTTGTATCTATCAGCTTATGAATTCATACGAGGCAAACATGAGGTCTGAATTATTAAAAAAGACATACTTTTCTACGAATATGCATATGACGTATGGTATCCAATAAATGTCTACAAAAATGTACCTGACAGACAACAAAAAGTGATTTTAATCAATGAAATAAAATCCTTGAACAAGTACGTACCAAAGTTTTCATTTAAGGCATATTGATCCGTTGTTCCCACGGCTTCAATCGTATCTTCTACACGACTTGAACACTTAGTGAAGCAGGCCTTCAGAGGGTTTTCTCTCTTAGATGGTTTTTGAACCTTGCGACTCTTAAGCCTCCATTGAATAAGTTCCTCTATATCGACGTCCTTTCCAGCCCCATCGTTGTATAAAAACTTCTCACGAAATCCCTCGATGAGTTCTTCTACTTCGCTGAAGTTCTTCGATGCCTGAGCTCTCCTGAATGCTTCAACAAGACACCCACCGCCGTTTAAATCGACATACTTGTATAACTCATTAGAACTCTTCTGAGTTTGGTTTATGACGCCTTGCCCAGCCCCTTTAGCATCTTGATCAGCAGATGCATCTCCCATGATAAACGTTACTTAAACTTGCATGAATACGGACAAGAACACCCACGATTCAGAAGAAGTACAATGACCAATATGAGAATAATAACGTTGTCATGTCCTTGTTGCCAAGAAGACACCAAAATCCTACTACCAAACTTGAGGCCGATGGAAAAAATGGAAAAAAGTCAGGGCGAACAAATAATTACCATAACCCCTAGGGTGAAGTCTTGCAGTTTGTTTTTAGCGACCAAAGACAAGGAAAACAGAAAAAAGCCAAAACAATGAATATCGCTCCAGCGGACTTCGAGTTCTTGGAAAAGCAGAGAGCGCCTGGTAACAAGGCAGTGTTCGGACTTTCTGCGTACTTCGTATAAGGTTCGTGTTGTGTCGTCGTGTGGTGCATGTAAGTTTTGAGATTTAGACTGTTTGTTCACATCATACTAGCTACTGCAAAAACAAAAAAACAAAAAACAAAAACAAAAAAAAATAGCGTGTTTGCCGGTTAAATTGATCGTTGATCGATGCTGAGACTAGCATTTATGACAGCCGTCCAAGCTGGTACAACACTGGTCTGATGGCCAACCTTTAACTCGCTGAAGTGAGTAGTAACATGTTACTTCTACCTATAATATTTATACATTATCCAGCAAACAGGCAATGACTCAAATTTATCAGGTTGAAGTTGCTATCCTGATCTGACACTAAATTATTGTTACCATTTTAGGAGGAAATGTTAAGCAGCTAGACGGGAGATTCAACAATCAGAAATTGGGAGTTTGTACCAAACCCAACAGTCTGTCACCTGATTGTCTACTGTATGCATTAGTCTCAACTGATTTATGATAAGCACCCTTTGTATCTGTGGGGTTTCCTCGGCCAGACTTTGATGGCAAGCTGCGAATATATCAGTCCAAATTTCATTTTCTTTGAAACGCGTGTTATTCTTATGGTTATATTTGGAAAGCCGTCAAAATAGGAGGACATCACACAGTGTAGTTGGGTCGGTTTAAAAAAGAACGACACGCAAAAAATCGCTTCTGGATTTCACATACTTTCAATAAATCAATTTCTAAGCTTTTCGCAGTCGGAGGGTTTCGGTGTCCTAGAAATTACTCATAAATTGAACCTTCGTCGCAACTAAGTGTTTCTGAGTTTTGATTCTAATATCAGAGCTGCATTTCGATTTAGTGATTTCCTTTGAGAGATCACACAAACAGTTTATCTATTCATGCTGCGGTTTACATAACAGTACAATGAAGATCTTTTTGAAGTTTCGTCATAACATCATTAACTACAACTTCTGGTTTGCGCGCTCATATCATGAGCTTTAAGCTCTGAAAAGATTCAATTTTCTCTCCTGAGTGGTTCAAAAGTAAATAAAATTCCAGTCAAGAGACAACTCTGACATCTAAAAAAAAAAAAAAAAGAAACGGGAATTCGTTGATCCGACCAATACCTATCAATAATAACCAAAGGTCTCTGAAATTAGTTTAGATTTCGTTCATCTAGATCTCTTTGAATTTAATCACTATAGTTGCTTTGTTTTTGCCACTAGAATATTCTCAGCCGGATATATAACACCTATAATGATGTTTTTATCTCATGAGAACACCAAAGGGCAGCTCGCGTTTGAGTCATTAGTCACCTAAAGGCCTGTTTGCATGCGATTGGTAGCTATTGCAAAAACTCTCTAGAAGTCATTATTCACTCGGTCTTTTTTAGCGTCCTCAACCATAAGTATTTTGCATCGATTGTCTGTCGATGTATATATCAAACACTTTCGTAGTCTGTTTCGGCAAAATCTACTATAGCCATGGCATTCATTTCAAAATTAATCTGCAGCTGTTCCTCATATTTTTGCATAGTTTTATCTTCTTCAATGTTCCCAGAACAGTCTGGCTGCATTAACGCTTCCGAGTCATCGCATTTTCTGTAATGAAACACCCGCGCAACACTCCAATCAACTTGATCAACAATAAAATTATCTTCAATTGGCTTGCTAATGTGATGTATCCCCACCTCGAATATTCTTCTTGGATCGACAATACATTTAGTCCAAAATGGCGTAGCCTCTTTCGTGCGACGAAAAACCCTTTGGGTTATTAACCGCGAGATTTGCAGATCTTCCCAAGAAGGGTTAAATATCGCGCTCTGAAAACAGTGCCCGCAATGTTCCTTATGGTGAATTTCCTTCAGCAAAACACTCATGTTATGATGATAAAGCGGTACAATAAACTCGTCTAAGTCATTAAAAGCCACAAAGTCAAGATAAGTCATGGACCGGAACAAGCAGTCCATAATTGACAAAGTTTGCCCATAATAATGGATATCGTACTCGCCAATATAAGAAGGTAAATTCCAAAGAAGAACGCGCGCTAATCCCTTTTCTTCGTAATAATCCAAAACGTTTTGTACACTATCAGACATGTTCAAGTTATAAAAAGTAAAATGTGAAGCTCCTAAAATCTGTGAGAGTTCCAAAAACTCTATCAACGTGTCCACCGATATCTCGCCGTGAAGAGGAGGAATACAAATTCCGTATTGCTTGTGACCAACCTTCTCGATTTTTCGGTCGATAAAATTTATGGGCAAAACAAGCGAGCTGCTTTCGGTTTGTGTTTTATAAGTTGAATTATCATACGTAGAGACAATCACAAAACATGGTATGTGGTCCAATTCTGGTGGAACAACGCATGAAGCTATGAAGCATCCAAACGGCATGTAATGGTTTTCGCTATGCTGATAATAAGAGACTCTACTAGTAAAAGATCGTTTTAATTCGCTGTCAAAATGACAGAAAAGCATTGGAAGAGGCTCTCTTGTTGAGGTCAGCAACAAAATTCGCACATACTCCAGAGATTTTCTGTCATCAAACCAAGCTGAATAAGCAATTATTCCTCTTTTCACTTCGCGAAATCTCGACTCTTCCTCTGTCTTTCTGCATGGAGAGTTCTTTCCTTGACTTCTCTCTTTTCCGACATCCCTTAATTCATCAATGCCCACTTGTGGGCCATAACCTTTGTCTTTTTGCATTTTCGATGCTTCTTTATCACGATGGCAGGAAACTTTCGCCATAATACAAGACTCTTCGCTGGGAATCACTGGCACCACACAAATATGAAAATACAAATGAAATAAAAACACCCCGGCGGAAAATAATACGAACAGATGAAAAAGACTCCTTCCTCGGCAACGAAACTTTACGCGAGTGCTTCTCCGCGACATCGGGGTCAGACAGTACAACGTAATTTGTAGTGAACAAGCCATTGTTTACTTTCTTACGCAGAATGGAATATAGCCTATCCACCACAAGATACCAGCCCCATCTAATAATTAACATCTCGGGGAAGTAATCAAATATTCCTGACGTGAGTTTCTCCGAGAATCGCCGCAGGCAGATCTGTTTTGACTTGTGTTTAATGGTACAGTTATCAAGGAGGGTTCTGGAATAATAGCGATTCTTGGTCAGACCCTCATGCAAGCCTCGAATTACTCTCTGCTATTTCATGCGAGCACACACTGTCACAGGATGTCACCACTCAAACAGGCCACAGGCACCTGTCAGCTACCTACTGCATGGGATAACTAAAAAATGGACAGTCAAAGACTGCATGTGGGCACTTGTAAAGCCTAATTTTTAATTTGTAGCATTGAAATGAATTAGAGGTTGTATAATGATGCTAGAAGGTAGTGTTGCAGAACATTTGTCTCACAAGCAAAACAGAGAACAAGATTTTCTTCGCAAAAGACAAAAATTTGCGTAGTGCGCCCGAGCCCTTAGCGGTCCTTTTCGCCAGATGACGTTGATTCGAACAGTAAAGTTCTCTCTTTTCAAAGCTAACATGATATGCAGGTCACGTCCATCGAGATGTTTCTGCGAGGAAAAGTAATTAAGCATCGGCAATTATTTTAAAAAGGTAATTTCTTTGGATCTACATAATTTGCTGATTGAAACGGTAGAATGCTCTCCCCCTAAAAAAAAAAAAATTCCCCTTAGTTGTATGATCAACCACAAACTAATCTTGCTTGCTCAAGCCCTACTGGGGAACATTGTCCCTCGGTCGTTTTTATACGGACCAAGCTGCGCTCGGTCCGTACTGCCACGATTCGTATTGGCCAATATTCCACAGTACGGCCCTCGCGATCGGCAGTAAGAAGTTAATCTTTCAAATTTGAGGACTATGTTAACAGCATTAGATCCCTTGCACCTATGTCAGTGACATGTTTGTATGGGGAGAATTCAGAATCAGAGATTGCATTTAAAGGATATCTGCTGGTTGGAACAGCACTTCCATATCACAGCTCGGATAAACTAAATTACCCACACCTAATTTTTGCCAAGACCATAAAACTTGTAAACAGATTCCTCCTTGATCGTGTATAATTGATTTTGACAAACAGCTAGGACAACGAATATTTATTTCAAAACAAAACTCAGCTCCTGTATAAATATATCTAAAAGTGAGTTGCATAGGTGCGAAATAAAGATGGACGTATCAATTATTTCTTGTGTGCTCCTCTCCCGAAAACACTCATAGAATAGGACATCGAAAACTGCCGTGAAAGTTTAGAATCTTTGACCTGAGACAAAGGATTGTTTTCTTTGACAAGCAGCAGCTATCTACTTTGTCCAGATCAAAATGCACACTAAAATCAAATGACGTCCTAAAGCTGTGTCGACATAAATCATAGAAGTAGACATTAGTTTCTCACTAAGAGCTTGCATAGTGTACCACAACAAAAGACTGATCAAAAATAGGCAGTTTACGACTGCATGTGGCTACTAATTTAGCGCAATTTTTATACCATTGAAAATAGGTAGTATACTGCTGCTAGAGGTTGTTGCTTCGCCTCCTACGAGGCGGCAGTAGCCACAAAAATTGTCTTAAAATTGAAAATTCGATTTAATACCAAGACCAGCTCTATTCTAGTGTATTCAAATCTGATTCCATAATATCATTTCTTTTTATAAAAAATATATATGTATTCTCCGAAACCTTTTACTAAATAATGTGTGGTGCACTTCTCGAGGACGGTTCCCTGTTACGTGAAACTCCACAAAGTAAGTTCCTTGAGGACCTCAAAAGCATTAACATGTAGAATTACTACATAACAAAAACTCAGCGAGAGGAACCTTTTGCCTCTTTTTAAAGAAAAATTTAGTTTTGCTGGAAGTCTACTTCTACGAAACGAGTGAAAAAAAAATTTAATAACTTGATAATATTTTCTTGACTTTCTCCGTTTATGTAAATTGCCTCATTCTATCAGAATGGAACATCAATACCAAAATAATTCATTTAAACAAAGTAATATTAGGATTAACTAGCTCACAGGCTGCTAAAAAATATTCCTTTCTTTGAGAAAGCTGCACAAACGGCAAACAAAGGGAAAAAAGTTTAAAAATTGTTGAACCCTGAACCCGTAAGAGCGACAATCATTTCATTTCTCCTTACAATATCTCAACTGAATCAATAAGGAAATGATTACCATCTTAAAATGTTCTTGATCGTTTAAAGTATTCTCCTTGTCATTCGCAAAGAAAACGTAGAGAGAACAGTGGAGAATAAGTAGGCCGATGTTATCGTGATACCGCTACTGGTATTCTGCGCTCTCACAGTGCATTATTTACTTGCATTGCTTGCTCACTGATGAAGAAATCTTCTGTTGATACGAATTCTCTTTCTTTTTCATATCCCTCCTTTTGTTTCTGTTGTTGTTGTTGTTTTTTTTTTTTTTGGCACGATAAATTAAGGCCTTCGATTACTTCCAAAACATTTGAAATTATTTTCATGAGTATCGATACACGTTTGCGTCTTATTCTGTACTTTGCTTATCACACAGTCATCCATCGTACTTTAAGGGGAAAAAAAAGCGGATATTAAATCGAGCCTTAACGATGAAGTATTACAAAAACAACATATGAAGTGTTTTCTATCCACTATTTCTTTTCATTAATGACGAAATGTTACTCTATTCTATTAAAATTTTCTCCATGATGTACAGCTACATTTAAATACAAGGTCATCTATAAAAACAAGAACAAGTGAATAGTGTGCTCCTCTGTTTATAATGCGATTTTCAGCCTACAGATTCTGAATCCTTCAAGTCGCTCCAGTTTCACATACGCGTTTACCATTTTGTTCCGCATTTTCTGAAACAAAAAGAGATAATGAATTTTTTAACATTAAAATAAATGGTCGAGTCTTAAGAGTCGTTCCTTTCAGTTTATTGACTCACACGCTTTCACAGAACATTCTAAACTGGAGCACATTTAGTACAACTTTTGCACCTTTCTCAGCTGCAGCTTTTTGTCTCTGTAGAATCCTTTTCAGCTCTGCCGTAGCCTCGTCCTTTGGTCTTTCGTCAAGAATGTCTCCCGCAGAATGGCTGCGTGGTTTCCTCAATACCACCTTCTTTAGTTCACTGTTGTTATTTCCGGTGTCTCCTGAGCTCGATGTCCCCTTGGAAGTCTCTACAATAGCGCTCGGCTTACGTAGTTTAATATTCACCCATTCAACTGGTGCATTGTCAGCGCCAGGAGAAGTTATTCCTGGGCCAACATCAACGCTTGGATTTCTCTTTAACGTTTTCTGCAAAAGTAAAGGCAGTTCATTTCTTAAATATTCTCCAAGCTCATATTGGACTCGATGATATCCTGACCGAAAAAGACCGGTTTTCTTTTGAGTGTCGTTAAACTAAAACCAAAGTACTGCACAACGACCAATCAGAAGAAAGGAAACTAAGTTAATGAACCGATGAGATATCAAACTGAAACCAAGTAAACTGCCTAACGTGCGGGAAACTGCGGGCAACCAAGTCGAGATTGGTTTTAGTTTTGCATCTGATTGGTCGAGAAAGTGGCGCCAGTTTTCTGAACCAATCACAGGGCAAGGTAAAGCAAAAGCATGACAAACCCGAATTACTTTCAACATTCAACTGAAAATTGACTTATGCGTCTTACTCACCCGTAAACAAAGGTTTAATTACTTTTACACTGTCCTCCTTGGAATTTTGAAGTACATCTTCGGGGTCACTTTTAAAACACATCGGAAAAAACAAGACCGTCTAGATCTGTTATTTTTGTTCTTCGCTCCTGGTGCTGAGCTGAGAGTCTTCCTTTTGTTTGTTTGCTTGTTTGTTTTCTTTGTTTTTATTTTCACTTTATGTCCCCGCTGATTGAGCTTGAACAAAAACTCTCTTTATAACTGTATCTGACTGTCAAATTGAAATGGCGCAAACTTTGCGTTATGTCTGCGAAACAGATGTACATTGTGTCGTGCTTCAATATCTATCGTTTATTTTCATGCAACTGTAAGAATGCCTTTCGGTGATAGAAAAATTATAGATAAAGCAATTCATTAGCCTACCAGTAGATTTCCTAAATCTGACATAGCATCCATGTCATCACTCTCGCTGCTGCCACTGGAAGGCTAAAACAAACAGTTAGCTACAAACTGAACATCAAGAAGACAGATCCGCCTTACCAGTACAGAGGCATATGAAACATTAAAAATAATAGTGCTGCTTATTGCGCCTAGAAAGTGATTCCACGTCGTAGAACATTTGTTTAGACCTGACAAATTTCCTTAAAAGAAAAACATGAAAATTACGCTGTGATGCTTGTGTACTGTTTGCTGTAGTTCTCGTGACCAAAGAAAGTTTAAGACTTACAATTCTGACGGGTTTCAGCTGTATGTTGCCACTCTTGATTCTCTGCATCATTTCAGACATGGCAACAGCCATTGGATCCTTTGGAGCTAGAAAACAAAATTTCATCATAATTCATGTTAGTGACATAAGTTATTCTCTCTGCTCCTGCTAACCACCTGACACACCAACCAATAAGCCGACTGACCGACTCACCAACTAAAAGATCAACTGACTGTCTGACCGACTAGACAACTGACCTTCCAACCAACAGACAAACTAACCAACCAGTTGACCGACCAACCAATAGACTGACCGTTCCACACCGTTCCACTGACTCAATAAACTTACCAACCGACCGACCAACCAGTTAACTGAGTCACCAATCGACTTACAATTGATACAATTGATACAATTGATACAATTGATACAATTGATACAATTGATACAATGACCAACCAACCAACTAACCAACCAACTAAATGAGTAATTTACCAACTCACTGACCGATCAAATAGCTGACGAACCGACCAACCGATCAACCAAATTACCAGCCAACCACCTGAGCGAGCAAGCGAGCAACCACCTAAGTGAATACCTGGCTCACCAACCAACCAAACACCCAGCTGATTGACCAACCTACCAACAAACCGGCCAACCAACATCCGAAGGCCAGTTGTTCAAAGGGAAGATACCGCTATCCAACTGATAAAGCGCTATCCAGTGGATTAGAGTGGATAAAATGTGCTGCGCTATCCAAAGGATAAAGATTTATCCAGAGGATAGCATTGTCCAACCCTCGAACAACTGGGGGAGGGTGAGTAAGCTTTAGACTGGTTGTAGGTACTGAGAACAAGTGAAAACAATTTTCCTTGCTTATTCTTACCTTTGTTCCGTTTTAAGGAAGACTTCTTTTTTGCTCCGACAATGTTCATGAACTTCCTAAATTCCAAAAAGTAAGTAGCTATGGAACATTCACTGACAGTGCTTTAATTGTTGAATTGTTATTGCTTGTAGCATTACTGCATTCAACTCCCCTGTTCTTAAGCGAATTAGAAAGCTAATTAATAATGAAACCAAATTCCAACGAATCGGGATTGTTCGCGGCAAGACAATTAAGTGAACTTAAAGTGCACACCAAACCATTTCAGCTCCTCCTCCCACAGTGTTGACCATAGAAATAAAGGCTGATAGTTTCCAAAGAAACTGTTTGGGGCTGCGTCGGTGGGAGTAACGAAATAATTTGGATATATCAACAAAGTTGAAATGGTGGCCAATTTACCATAGAAACCCTTCCAACAGGAAAATGTTGGGCATTCAAAGTCCTCCGAAAAAAGGCGGGTAGCTTGGTTATCAAAGTAGCTAATTAACTGCTACCTAAGGTGATTTTAGACAAGTTAGGATACTTAAGGTGGCTAGGTGAACCAAACATGGATATATGCTTCAAACCACATCAATCCCTAATAAAATACGTATGTCGCAAAACATTTCATTTCAACTCACTTGATAAGTTGTGTGGGAGGAGGGGGAGGAGGTGCCGCTGGAGGTGATGAGGAAAGGGCAGCGGCAGTGGCCTGTTTCTTTGCTTCCTCTAAACTCTTCTCCAGTTCAGACACTAACAAAACAAAATATCCCAAAGTGAGAGAGTGAAGCTAATTGACCTTTTTTGAACACAAAGGAAGATAATGCTTTTTTCACAGCAGAGATGAAATTACTAAATTTGTGTTTAAGCACCCTAAATTGATCCATCAGTTCTCTATAAAATTCACTGAATAAAAACATGAAGGTTGAAGGCTCAAATTCAATACTAGCCTTGACATACAATTCAAAGATAAGAGAAGTAAACACAATTATGTTACTAAGTTATAAAATAATTACTCAAAGTTGTGTGAATGAAAGGTGGTGAGATCCGAAACGACGATAAACATGTTAGATACCTTGACACATCCAAGAAAGATCCTAACTTGTGCGTGAAAAACGTAAGCGAGTCTATTCCTATTCTTTTTGCAGTCTTGAGACTCAACCGCTGCGAGCGCCATGCTGTAAATTATTTGCTTTTCATGCTCCGTCGCTAACTTGGAGAAGCTTCAGTTAAACTAACTCAAAATAAAGCTTTGAAATCATCACCTTTCTGATTTGCCTCGGTTACTTTCTTCTCGGTGTCTGCCAGTTGTTGTTCCAAGGACTCGATATGCTCCTCGGCCACCTGAAGTTTTTCTTCAGTAACTGTTAGCAATACAACAACAGCAGCATCATCACATGGCCTGAAGGAGACACTGGTGGCGAGACTAAAGCGCATGTTTTAATGTCCGATCTATACATTTAGACCATTTATTACTTACAGGCCATTCCAAACCACAGCGAAACATTCCTTAAAAAGAACTGAACGTCGTCGCGTTCAATAACTTTACAAATAAAGTCACCTCTACCACTCTTTACCTCACCAAAAGAGTAAGAAATCATGGTATTCACCAACGCCTTCAACAAATAGATTTTCTGGAATTTTCATCTAATTTTCTTTTCCGGAATTACCGTCTCACATACCATTGATATATTCTTCATCCTTAGAAGTCTTCATGTCCTCAAGAAGATCCTTTATCTGCAAAAGTCGGATTCAGCGACCATTATGAGCAACTATTGGTATATCAGTTACAAGCCCTGACAAGAAATGATGAAATAAAAATATTTCCTCACCTTCTCCTCCGCTTCAGCTCTTTCTTCAGCAAGTTTTTTGTTTAGTGTACTGATCTCCTCAAGAGCTTTCTTCAGTTGTTCATCTTTGCTAGTTGTTTCAGTTATGTACTTCCTTTGCTGATCCAAAACATCTTTTTCTCTTAACACCTAACGAAGTTTGAAAAAAATGATAATAATTTAAATCTGACTTTTACATTGTAACTACTGTTTGACAGGGTGCACCAATATGAGGAAGTAAAATCTTCTATATACGTATCCTAAATACATGCACTCCTACTGGAAGAGAGACTTTTGTTGTCTTAATATCTCAAACCTACAGACTGATACTAGAAGATGACGAAAATGCATTTATATAGCGCATTATACGCTCTAATGCGCTTTACAACACTTTGCGGGGAACTTTGACCAGACTGCACTGTATAGTCTACAATTTTTCAAAGGGAATTTTGCAGGTGCCCTCAATTGTGGAAGGCCAGACCACCAGACCGGGAGCTACGTTATTTACTCTTTGCGAAAAGCGCGTGGGGTCTTTTTAACGTCCCCTGCTAACCAATAGAGAGAGAGGATGAAAGAGACGAGGCCTACGGTTTATCGTCCTTATCCGAGAAGACTGGAACGTCTACAAATGTTCAGATGTCATGAAAAAAGGAAAAACAGTCTCCTCAAACCCTTAGTGCTGGTACAGTCTGGGTAATTTAAACAGTATGAGCTAGCAAGACACAGTTTCATGTTTAAACAGGTTACCCGAGGGGGAGGGGTACCTCCTAATGGGATTGTGCCACTGGATGGGCCATTTTCGATAGAGTTACACTGCACTGAATGGGCTCTCACATTTTAACGATTTTGGTTTAAGAAATTTCTGGTAAGTAGGAATTTAAAGTTGGGAAAAGTCGCGTTTTAAAGTTGTTACTGCTTTACCAAAAGTGGCTAAGGTGGCGTCTACAATTGGCCAAAGAATAGGTTATAATGGAGCAGGGGTTCTGAAAGGCCAGGGGCACAAACCCAGCAAAAAATTGCCCCACGGGCAATTTACCAACCTCAGCAGCATACTTTTCAGCTTCAACACGACACTGTGTTTCAAGAGCGTATCTTTGTTGCAATGTGTTGTATTCCTCAAGGGCCAATACAGAAACTGAAACATGAATAAGTAAGCTTGCTGGCGATTTATTTCAGTTTGAAGTCATCAAATTTTTGGTTGTATTTCTTTCAAATCTTGTAGCTGAAGACTAACGGTTGCCACTTCATTGAAATTAGTTTCCCATTTTCTTTGTATTTACACTTTAAATGGAAGGTTACTATGATCATAACTATGATGAGCTTGGTTCTTCAGGGTTAGCTTCAATTTGAATTATTAGAAAATATCTACATAACCAACAAGGCAAAAAGGTCTAACAATGAAAAAAGAAGCCTGTTTTATGCAAAAAGCTGATCCAAGAAGGATAACTTGTAACAAAAAATTTTGGGCATCCAGACTGTAATACTAGATTATTGATTACGTCTGTTTTCTTTCCCTTTCACCACTCTTTTTGGAAAAAAAAACTGACTTTAGTGGGATGGGAACTTGCTTGAAAACCTCACAGTTCCTCTGGGCTCTAGTAATAATAAAACGCTGCTTTTAAAAAATTGCTTGTGAATCATAAATAAAATTCTTATTATTCCATCCCAATACCTCTTTTTCTGAGCCATAAAATATTTGCCACTGTTGTTGTTCAAATTACTGGTACTGTACTGTTACTTCTGCCAGTTATTTTACTTCGCCACAACTTGAAGTTGAAGTACAAACAGCCCGCTGCCTCTTTTCCTTTCATTCCTTTTATCTTATACCTGTCAAGCCCCAAAACAGCTGAAGAAAAAGGGACTCACCTCTGTTCAGTTGCTTGTACTGTTTTTCATTGGACATCAATCTCCTCTTTGTAGCCTCATGGGACTGCCTTTCATTGTTTAACTAAAAAGGTAAATTGTCAATGTTAATATACAAAAGCATGGCAGAGGCACACCAGAGATGGTACCTTGACTAATGGTTTGCAAAGCCAAAATTTTAGTAATGAATTATTGACTGTCTCATGATGTAGTCACTTTGATTTGGTATACAATATTTTCACTGCATACTTCAAGTTGTCCTAAGGCTTCCTAGCATTTTTCACTCAACGAATCATGCTCCACTGTGATAGGCTAGTTCTCAACAGTAATGAAATGACTGCATTATCATGCTAATACTTCATTACTAGACATGTGTAATCATCGCAATGAATGACCTCAAGTAACAAGCAGGTACTATAATTAGTTTGTAAACTTAAGTAATGTAAAGCTTTTTCTTTTCTTTGAAGTTATTTACTTCCTACAATTGGCATCAAAATTAGTTGACACATCATGTTTGAAGAGTTCTATTTAAGCAAAGAGTAACATTCCTGTTTCTACCACACTATAAATCATTAACAGCCCCATCTTCCATTGAAAATCTGCTAAAAATTCCTGAAATAAAGATACAACATAGTTTTTCGGGGGAGGGGGTAAACAGGTTAACTAAACAAGGGAAAAATGGATAAAATTGAAGTAACAGAGTTTGAAAAGATCAATGTGTCAATAATTTTGTTGCTGATTGTAGATAAAAAAATTGATCACAAAGTTTCTCACCTCATTTTGTGAGGCAGTCAGTTCTGCTTGGGTACTTCTCACCTCTTTTCTTAAGGTCTCCACCATCAGCTGCAGTTCTAACAAAAGAATAAAATTGGAATATTTTAATATGTTATCCCTCATTGAAGTTCCACAGATTCCACAATTTAAATTATAACATAACCAAAGTAAAGCGCACGCTCTGATTGGTCAATTTAGCGTCCCCCATTTGCCCATGGGTGTACACTGCTGACGTGAGCAAATGCAAAGACTATTTTTAAACGCGCGCGCTTGTTTTTTCTGGTCGCGTAAGATTTGTTAAATAAAAGGGAACTCTTTACCTACAATGTATCAATGTTATGTTATAAAACAAATGGTAAACACCACAGCGTACACTATTGAGTTATGGATGCACTTGGGAGGTTTGCTAAGCACTCAAGAAGCTATTGCCTCGAGCGACTCTTACGCTTCTTTCATGCTTAGCAACCTCCCGCGTGCATCCATAACTCAATAGTGTACGCTGTGGTGTTTACCATTTGTTAATTGTTGCTGAGAAAGAGCTGATGAATAACTTGAGTCACATGAGTTTAAACTTTTGAAATAATTAATTAAATGTACATGAAAAAATGCACGCTTATGGGCTGCACAATGCCAAAATTGCTACCTCTTTCTTATATGCACCACTACCTCACCCCCCGTTAGTTAAAGAGTTTCAGAGTAGAGTCAAACAATGTATGCATTACAATTTGTATCATTCATACAAAAAAAATAGTGTTAGTAGTTTTATAACCTGGCTTTAAATAAAATAAAAATTAATGTCAAATGGAAATGAATCATCTGTACCAGTTATTATTTCCAGGAAAAATATCAAGCACCTTTTAAGAACAAGATCAGGCTGATAACTCACTTAGGCAACTCTTATATATATGAAACACATCTGCCTGGAATAGAAAATAATCAAGGTTCTTTTGTGCAGATGAATACTGTCAGCATCTTATTAACTTCCTGGGTATTGACAGGCTTATTAATATACCTTTTACTTCTTCTTGGAAAACTGCATTGTCACTCAAAGGTTGATCATCACTTGAAATTGAAGAGAGCTCCTCCTGCTATGGAAGGATTTCATAGGAAAAAGAATTTTTTAATCACTCAATAATATTATGGGTTGATTGATGTATTGATCAGATTAAGTATCTCTGCACTAACAGTGGAACCCCAGCCTACAAAATTACCAGTAACACGTTCAAATTTGTAAGTTTTTCAACACCACAGCCAGGTTGGTTATTCTTCCTTGTCATCTGTGTACTTTTTCTTACACATAAAAACCATGTGACAAACCAAGTTATTTGTTGGCTTTCCAGTGTAGAGCTTATTTTTCAATTTAAAAATAATTGGGCTAGTGAAACATTCATAATTGAAATTATTTTGCCGAGACTATTTACACCCTACAATATTTTCACCAATCTCCAAGCATAAATAGCAGTTAACACAGGTTTTATCCCCCATGCACCCCAATCAAAGGACATCCTATTGTGCCTATGAAACATATCTGTCTGGGCAATATGATAACTGCAAATTGAACTGCAGCATCACAAAGATATCAACCAACAATAGGCTCATGTTGCAGCTTGGAAAAAAATTCTGGTAAGACTTTTCATAATTTCAAGACATTGTGGTTTTTTTCCTTATGTCTGTACAGGCCCCACTAAAAAAAAATTTCTTTCTTTCAATATACAACAAATGAACATTTCTTGCAGAATTTGAAACCATGATTTTCTTAATTAAAATGACAACAAATGGTCTCTGAGGTTTAAAGGTTTTTCCTCAGAAGTTTCAACTTAAAATGACACAGATACAGCTGTATACGCCATATCACAGCACTCTGTAAACCCTTCTAAGTTTTTTTCCAAAACAGTCCTCTTCCCCTCTAATGATAGGTTAGTTTTTTTAATGATGTAAATGAGCTTTGTCATTATGATTATTGACAAGGAAAAACAACCAGTCATGAACAGTTGTGACATAGGTTGACTATGTTAAATATCAATAGTTTTTGTCAATAATCCACTTACAGGGTTCACCTCTCCAGCAACTTGAGAGAGGAGTAGTTGGCTCTGACGCTTGAGTTTTTTATTTTCCTGAACCATCTGTGATATCAAGTTGTACAGTTCATTAACTACTGGCTCTTATCATCATGGTCTTACAGGACTTATGGATCCCTAGAAAGCATTCAGAAAGATGTTTTGGGTGCGAGAGAATTTCTCCATCCAATATCAGATTACAATTTCAAACAAACAGGTGATGAGAGCAAAAAAAATATATCAAATTGAATAAGGGGATTGATATTTTTAGGGGATTGATTGATCCTATACCAAATTCTCGTCAGCAAAATCATAGGAATTTTATGGCAGACAGTAAGGAGAATTAGATCTTGGGAGTAAAAGGGTTAAAGTTCATAGTAAGTAAGGTTTAAAGAATTGAAATTGAAAATTCCAGGGAGTGAGCCTTGGCTGGAGCCCTCGTATTGTGCTTACCAGTGGTGGGCATAAATGATTACAGGCTGGTAAGTCAAACAAGGAAAACCACTAAATTGTGTGGGTCAGTTACAATCACTGTGTGCACATTTTATTCTAATTATTACATTAGGAAAAAATAAATAAAAAGACAAACTGGAGAAAGTAAAACAAAATCAGTCAAAATCACTCTGGCAGCTAATTTTGCAAAAAGAAAACTTTAAGGTTTATCTTGCTTGAAAAATTTTAAAAGTTAAACAAATGTCATCAGTGTCTTACATTTGTGGCAAACTCCTCAGCCTTGTTTCTACAGTTCTGTTCCACTTCATATTTGCCATGCAAGTTCTCATACTCAGTCAAGGCAAGATTAGAAACTATTCAGCAAAAAAAGGCAAAAAGAAATAACTAAGAAAACAACTAAAAGAGTTATTAAATTGATACTTGATTGTGTTTGACACATTTTAACCTTCTCCCAGAAGTGATTACTATGTAAGTTCACCCTACAATATCCATACATTACCCAGCAAATGGGTAATGAGAATTCTCAAACTTATCTTGATCTAAAACCAAATTCTTGTGGTTAACTTATATGAAAATGTGTGACAGCTAGTAGGGAGAATTAAAAATCAGATCTTGGGAGTTAAAAGATTAATAAAATTTTGCTACATGTTTCTACACATCTGGTTACTCACAATAGAAAACTGAGAAGTTAAAAGATAGTAACAAAGACATTGGGTAATCAATACCAAGATTCGTTAACTAACATAACAACATAGTTTCAATTTTTCAAAAATATTATCGTGCAACTAACCCCTTTGTTGTTGGTGGTGTTGTTTTTTTTTTTAATCTACAACATTACCAAGCATCTGGAAGCTGGGGTTAGCCACTGCCATATGTTACAGAAGTTGTGGTTTAGTGTACATAACAAAACATGTAACTACAAAGTAACTTCTAGCAAGAACACTTTGTCATTCTATCATCATTTGTAAAGAGGTGATGAGGTCTATTGACTATTTCCTTGTAAGCTTCAATCTACACCCATGACATCATAAAGACACTTGAAGAGAGCAGGACCCATGCCATTGATTCACCCTGTTGATAGGTATAGCTTAGGAGCTGCAAAATTTTAAGGCTTTGTGAAACTAACAAAATACCGAAAAAAACACTACCAGAATAATAGTTTTTGGAAGAGGTATCACAGAAACACTTGAGATATTCTACCATCAAAACAAAAATACTTATTCTGGGATTAGTTGCACTTTATTCCAGGGTTAGTGCAGCACTTTGACATTCACAGACTAATTATATACACTCATTTTGAATTCCCACAACAAAAATGCACCTCCTGTGCTAGTTTATCCTGTTTTAAAAAAATAATATTTTGTTTGCCGTAACCACAACATCAACTGACAAGATCATTGTTGATGCAATATCATTGCAGTATTTCAAGTCCTTAGTTACTGTTGAAAGACCTTAAGAATCGTCTGAAACAAAAACCTTTGACACGAGAAATTCCACTGCTGTTAAGTAAGTTTATTTTAAAAAGACAAAATATATGTAGTCAGAGATAAATCCAATTAAGGATATCTCATGATTTCTTGTTCTTCCGCTTTGAGATATTTAAACCACGTCAAAGAAATAAGAAGTAATTGGAATTTAATTTTAATATGAAGACATACAGTATAGCTCTTTTTAACTAATTGCATAGAAAGACGGGAACACGAACTAAAAAAGAGTGAAATATGGCAATTAAATCAAAGATGACTTTGAATAATTGGCTTGTAATTACATCCTAACTGAGTTTCGATAGAAAAGTAACGAAGAAAAAGTTTTCGAATTCATCGGCAGAGAAATAAATAACCATTAATATTTACATTAATTTTTTTTTTGTGTAGGCTAATATATTGGTTTTAATAACGAATGAAATAACATACAAGATGGTTAATTTAGTCGAATGACAGAATTTTTAGTCAAAGTAAACTTAATAAGCATTCAGGGCGAATTCACAGATGTAACTCAAAATACAAAATAATGTAAATGAACAGAGCAAATAACAACATCGTACTTTCATTATTTTCTGATTTCGCTTACGGATAAATTTAAAGTACCTCGCTCAAGTCAACAAAATATCCTACTATTCCCGATCAAAAGGACACAAAGGCACTACACAGCTGTATCTTTTATAATGATTATTTTCTTTCAGCATTTGCGCTGAGAGAAAAACAAGAGTGGCGTTGACTTCGTCTGTGATTATATCGCCTCCTGGGGTTTCTTCACGTAATTATTGATCAAGCCCGATAATACGAGGACAAAAATTGGTTATTTTCTATAAAAAGATTCCTACCTTCTTTCAGTTTCTCTAGATCCCCTTTGACTTTTAAATATTTTCCTTCTTGTTCCTTGTACTGAAATATTACGAAAAGAGGAAAATTCCTCGCAATTAATTAAAACTCGCGATGTTTTAACTTAAATTAAAATGTGGGGGTTTCGACTCTCTTTCAATTCATCACGAATCAGCTGGAGTTTGCCCAACAAGACGAAAGACAAATACCAAATAATACACCTACCTTTTCAAAGTAATCCTGACATTTTTTTTGCAACGCTTCGAATTCAACAACCGCTGAAAGGCAACAATAACTTGATGAACCACTCGAAATCTGCAGCTGAACAAATTAAATGCCGAAACAGTAGGCTTCAAATGCTTGTCCAGATGATCCCCGACGAATTTAACAACTAACCTCTTTGAGATAACCCTTTCAAATTTCTATACTTTTTGTCTAACACCTCAAATCTCTTCCGGGTTTCCTGTAAGTCGAGCTCATTTACCCCACAACCATTGGAAGCATCCGCCATCTTCTCGTCCTCAAAAATCTTATTACTGTCACACAATGTAGAAGTTGCAGTTCTGCATATGTAAATAGATCACGTGATTTGTAACGACTTCCGTCTTACCCAACTGCAGCTGGAGCATGGAGGAAGTCGAAAAACTATACTTGATTTCCGTCTCAATATGTATCAAAAAAAAGTTTCACCTTCTGCTGTATGTAGTTACCTTATGCTGCTGAGTAGTTAGAAGAAATACCCCTGCCGAAAGAGGAATGTTTCAAGTCTAATTAAAATCATTACAATTTCCTCAAATGTGATTGGTGTATTAGTTGCTTTATTTTTCAGTAATTATTCTGTGGAGTTGTAATTGGATAGTGCAATCGGACAATTGGCTGTAATCGGACAGTTAATGCAGCCAATCATGCTAAGTCCACTCAGCTAAATCCAGCATTCACAGAACTGATCGCAATAACCATAGCAACAACCACTTATCCTAAAAAAAAAAAACAAAAAAAAAACAAAAACACACATTGTCTCTACTGGAGATATTCTCCTAACTGCTTGATTTGTTTTCTCGGAAATTGTAATGGTTATGATTAGTAAAAATTTCGTGTCGCCCGAGTTGGTCTGTAATCATACTCCTGATTGACAAATACGATTCCGGCTTCGCGCGATCGCGGTCGTCCGATTTTTTTAATCAGTTGTTTGATCACAGACAGCATTGGACTCCACTTGGTCCCATTACCATTATTATACTGTAGTATCACTCCTTGCTCAATGGCTGTGGCTGGAAAATCTTTATTCGATATACAAAATGTTCTGCATGAGACACAGGCAGCCCAAGCTCATTACTAGAAAAGCGGACGTGACTCTTACCGTGTTGCGCAACGTTTTGTATTTATAAAGGTTTGTATGGGATGTTATCGGTTTGCCTTAAAAGAGAGAAAAAAATGTCTTGTTTTGACATAAAATGGACTTACCCTAGTTCCTTGTTGTTTTCTTTGTTGATTCCTAGCGTTAGCAGTTGAACACCAACATAGCGCTAACTCGCCGAAAACGCTTCAAAATGGTCTGAGACGCTAGGAATCAACAAAGAAAACAACAAGGCAATAAGGTAAGTCCATTTTATTTCAAAACAAGACATTTTTTCCTCTTTTTTAAGGCAAACCGATAACATCCCATACAAACCTTTATAAATATAAAACATTGCGCAACACGGTAAGAGTCACGTCCGCTTTTCAAGTAATGAGCTTGGGCTGCCTGTGCCTGAGACATTTGGTATAGGAGTTGAACAACAAAGTGAACGACAGAACAACTGATCTCAATGGGACACTTTCAGCACAGAGGGACTCCAAAATGCCTTTCGAAACTTTCCTGGCTCACGAGTAGTCCACAAACAACATAAAAATTCATTGGGTATCTACACGTGTAGTCTTGAACCACAAGTGATTTCACATCCAAACCCATCCTCGGAGACCCAGGGGCTGTGAGTCGATTTCAAGTTAAAGGCAAAAGAGCCCCTGGGGACATTGTCTTACAAGACTAGTTCCAAACGGTCGCACTCGTTCTGGCATCTGATTGGTGCCAGAAAATCTTTGTGTTTTTCTGCCCAATCAGAGTGAAGTGTCCTTTGGAGTCCTTTCGTGTGTTTTAACACGCACATATACAACAAGCTCTGTTGCTCGCTATGTTTGTTTGGGCCGTGCGACGAAGCTTTGCCCGAGGTGAAAAGTTTCAGTCTCAGCACACAATGTAAGAGAAATCGATCAGATTGTCCGCGAAATCTTACCGGAAAATTATACTGAATACTTTCGCAGGTATCACAAGAGAACGTGTTTAAAAGTTTGCGAGGTTCGTGTAAAACATAATGGTTGCAGGCATTGATATGTCGCTTTAAACGTTAGATGAGATGTAAGCCTAAATCTTTCAAGATTTTTTGTACAATTTGTTGTGACTGAAACTTTTCCAATCCCGTGAAGTTATTTCGTCGCACGGGCGTGGGTCGAATGAGAAGCTT